AGCTCTGTTTTGAGATCAGCCAATATCAGGTACCCTATCCTAAGAAAGTCACAGCATTAGTTTTAAATCTCGGTTGTGAAGTGATACAAACAGCTGCAGGGCCCAGCCCCCACCCTTCAGTTCTTTTCTGCTACAGAACTTCGAAGGTCAACCTCAGAATGTCCCCAAGTGGACAGCCCCAGCCAGACATGAGTTCCAATTAAAACTGTCTCAGGCAGTGCAAACCCTGCTCAACAGAGAGGGATTCAAGGGTCTCTAACAGCACAATTGGAGTGAGGGATCTATACTCCTGCCTGCCAGACTCAGTCCACACTGTTGTATGCTTCTCTGGTCACAGGCCCAGTTTGAGCAATGGGCCATGCTCCCTGCCCACAGGTCTCAGGCCACACCCCGCAAGCCTCTGCTTGCCAGACCAGTTGAAGTCAGGGGAAACTGCCCTGCCTGCCAGTCTCAGTCCATCATGGACTGAGTCAGGGCACTATGCCCCGCTTGTAGGTTTCTGTCCTTGCCAGGTAATCTCTGCTCACTGGCCCCACTGGAGACAGAGGACCACACCCTTGCTCTCAGGTTATTAGTCCCCACCTGGCGAGCCTCTGCTTACAGGCCCAGCAGGGGCTGGGGACCAGCCATGCCTGCCAAAGTCAGTCCATAGGAGCAACCACTCTCCTGCTGTGGGTGTCATCAGAGCTGGGGGCTCTGCACCCCGTCCTGCCAGACACAGCCCAAACCAGGGGTCAACACTACCACTGGCCGGGCATAGTCATAACCCGAGGAGACTGCTCCTCCTCCCAGTGAGTGTCCCTTTCTTCTCATACCCTCTTTCTTCCCCATTATTCACAGATTCTGTCCTGATGGTTGGCGGTCCACATTATGCCCAGATCTCTGAGGAAAAGACCAAACGCTCTGTGCTCTGCGAGGGGCAGAACTTCAGACCACCATGCGAAGGGGGAAGGGTGGACTGGGAGTTTGGATTTGTGGGAGCAAATATCTGTTCAATTTTCTGCCTGGTGCTGACTAGGTTCATAAGTGGGATCTCCGTGGATAAAGAGACCTTGTGTTTAGCAAGAATATAGAAAAAAAATTTTTGTATAGCTATACAATATGTGTTTTAAGATAATACTATTACAAAAGAGTCAAAGTTTACAAAAATTACAACATTCATTTAAAAAGTTACAGTAAGGTAAGGTGGACTTATGTTGAAGGAAGAAAACTATTTTTTTTATAAATGTAGTGCAGCCTAAGTGCAGTGTTTATAAAGTCTGCAGGAGGAGCCCTCTCCCTCACTCAGTGACTTCCAGTTGTGTAAGCTCCATTCACAGTAAATGTCCTACACGGATGTACCATGTTTTATCTTCTATAATTGTATTTTTAATGTACCTTTTCTACGTTTGATATAAAAATACTTACCATTGTGTTACAATTGCTGACAGCGTTCAGTACAACTATGTGTTTAATAGGTGTGTAGCCTGGAAGCGACAGGCTCTATCATAAAGCCTAGGTGTGTAGTAGGCTGTACCTACTGTACTAGCTAAATTTGTGTAAATAAACTCTATCATGTTTGCAAAACAACAAAAATGCCAGATGACGCATTTCTCAGAATGCATCCCCATCATGAAGTGATGCATAACTATATACCTTCAATTTTCTTGGATATATGCTGTGTCATAAGGTAACTTAATGTTTGAGATAATACTAAACGTTCATTTAAAAAGTTACAGTAAGGTAAGGTGGACTTATGTTTGTCCACCTTGAGGAACTCTTTGAGGAACTGACGACAGTTTTGCAAAGTGGCTGTAGCATTTACTATTCCCACCATCAGTGTCTGAGGGTTCCAATGTTCCTACATCTTTGTCAACACTGTTTTTTTTTTTTTTTTTTAGAGACTAAGTCTTACTTTATCACCCTCGGTAGAGTACCATGGTGTCACAGCTCACAGCAACCTCAACTTGGGCTTAGGTGATTCTCTTGCCTCAGCCTCCCGAGTAGCTGGGACTACAGGCACCCCTGTTTTCCTTTTTTTTGGGAGAGAAATTAAGATGTATTGAATCATTGATCTATTCCATATACTTCACTAAGTAATCTGTATATGTAATCTCTTAAAATTGTTTTTTGTTGTTGTAAAATATACGTAACAAAATTTACCACTTTAACCATTTTGAACTTTTTCATCTTCCCCAACTGAAACTCCTCTCCCTAGTCCTTCCTTGGCAACCATTATTTTACTCTCTCTCTCTGTGAACTTGACAACAGTAAATACCTTATATGAGAGGAATTCTTCTGTATTTGTCCTTTTCTGATTGGCTCGTTTCACTTCGCATGTATTCATTTGCATATGCAAGGTTTACACATTGTAGCATATGTCAGAATTTCCCTCCTTTTTAAGACCACATAATATCCCACCGTACGTCTATACCACATTGTTTTTCCCTTCATGTGCTGATGGACATTTAGGTTGTCTTCACCTTTTGCCTACTGTAAATAATGCAGCTATGAACATGTGGGTATAAATTTTCTGTTTACCATAAAAAATAAAAATGAGAACTAGCTTCAGAAGTACAGAAGACACAGCCTAAAAACAACTCAAGTTGAGAATTATTAAGAAGCTAAGTTGCCTATTCCACATGAGCTCACAGTGCAAAGTGGCTGCCAGAAAAGTCCCTTTTTATATTAGAAGAAGAGTGCCCAGGAGAGCAGAGGAAGGAAGAAAATACGATTTTATACTAATACTTATCAGATTACATGCATGTAGTAGTTCCCTACCGCTATGTAACAAACTATCCTAAAACTTAGCAGCTTCAAACAATGAACATTTATTATCTCAGAGTTTCTGTGGGTCAGAAACCTTGTGCAGCTTAGCTGAGAGCCTCTGACATTGCCGCTCTCACAGACTATGATCCAGATGTGGGGTGAAGCTGACAGAGGGAAGATCTGCTCCCAGCTCCCTGCTGTTGTTGCTGGCTGGATCAGTTCCTTGTGGGCTGTTAAACTAAGGGCATCGGTTTCTTACTGCCTGTTGATAAAGCCTCCTTCAGATCCTCAGCATACGAACTTATCCACAGGATAGCTCACAACACAGCAGCTGGCTTTCATCAGCAAGAGAGGGCCAGGAAGATAGAAGCCCCAGTCTACTGTGGCCGATCCTGGAAGTAAAACCCATCACTCGCCATGTTCTAGGTCCAGCCTACACTAGGGCAGGAGCATGAACACCAGGACGCAGTCTCATTTGGGAGCCATCTTACAGGATGCCTACCAAAACATGCCTTATTTTAAATAACCCTAAAGGTACAATATGATATCTCAAATCTGTGACCGAGACAATTAAAAGATATTTAAGAAATGCTTTGTAAAAATGGATACATAACAGTTGTACATATTTATGGACAACATGTAAAAACGTTTTAAAGAACAAAGCCTCAGATGATATAAAATAGGAGTTGGAGACATGCTTAGACTAGAAGGGAGAAATAAAAACCAAATGGAAGGGAAAGGCAGCAGTGAGAACTGTCATGGCAGTTTTAAAATAACTGAAAGGCTGTCACATGTAAGAGAGCTTAAACTCAGTTTTTGTGGCTCCAATTAGCTGATTAGCTGGGTAAAGACCACTATGGGATGGTGTTCACCTGTCTGCATATGGGATGGCGTTCACCTGTCTGCATATGGGATGGTGTTCACCTGTCTGCATCTCCACATGATTATAAACGGCTTTACAGAGAGACCCTATGCATGTCCTGTTCACTGCTGCAGTTTTCAGCTACTGGAACATAGTTAGGTAGTAAAATTATTGAAGTATAAAAAAATTATTGAGCATGAAAAAATTTAAAAATACTACTAGAGAGAAATGAATTTTAGTCTTAAATCTTAAAATATAATACTCAATGCTTAGAATTTTCCAAAATCAGAATGGCTGGTATGTCTCTGGAGAGGCCAGATAATCACACAAGATGAAATTAGGTCATAAGATTTAGATGAAATGGCCTTGAAGTGTCAAAAGGTCTTCCTGTAATGTTCTGATTCCACAACATGGTTGGTCTGGATCAAGAGATCCATTCCAAAAATTGTTCCTTAGCTATACTATAAAGATGGCCTGCCAATGTTGAAGGCACAATTGAGTCTTCAGTGTCTTGACACTGGTCAACTTGGTAGATAAACTTGATTTACAATGCTTCCCTCTCAAGAGTGCCACAGCTGAAAATCTTTAAGCCTCTCACCAGTGAGTAGTACTCGCTACTAAAGAAATAAATTAGGTGTTTTAAAGATTCTGTTTCTAACATCAGTAATTCCTCCCCTTTGCTCACTGCAAGATGCTCATGGCTGTATCTTACTCTTTCCCTTGGGCAAGATGACCACTCTGACCACTCTGAGCAAGTATGAAGCGTGTCTATCCACAGCAGCCCTGGCCGCACTTCCTGAGCCTGCCCCACTGTTGGGAAGCTGTGTGGTGTAGTTGAGAGACAGCCTGGGAGCCTGGGAGTCGCTGACCAGTCCCGGGTCTGCACTTGACCAGCTATCGGGCCAGAGGCAAGTGACCTAATCTCTTTGGGTCTCAGCCCCTTAATTCAAAAACTGGGCAATATTCACCTCAAAAGGTTGCTCTGGGCTGGTCTTGGTGGCTCACGCCTATAATCCAGGCACTTTGGAGGCCAAGAAGGAAGGACAGCCTTGGCTCAGTTTGAGACCAGCCTGAGCAACATAGCGAGACCCATCTTTATAGAAAATACAAATATTAGCCAGGTGCGGTGGCAAGTACCTGTATTTCCAGCTACTTGGGAGGCTGAGGCAGGAGGGTCACCTAAGACCAGGAGTTGGAGGTTGCTATGAGCTGTGATGATGTCACTGACCTCTAGCTTGAACAACAGAGCAAGATCCTGTCTGAAAAAATACAAAGGGCTGCTCTAGTCTGTCCCCTGACTACGGCACAGTGAGTGCTGTGTTGGGGCAGAGAAAACAAGCAAGAAAGATTTTAAGGTCTGGGTAATGAGGACATGCCTCTCACTCCCTACCTTGATAGTTCTTCACAGGAGTCATCTTGTTATAATCTTCTGACAAAATAAACTCCTGCAAAAGAAAAGAAAAACATTAAGCATAAAGAAATTCATAGTAAGTGAAACTATATTTTGGTAGAATCAGATTATATAAAGCAAATTACCAATACAGCTATAACTAACATTAGCATTCTGCCCATCAATTTGGGATTTTGTACCACTTTAGAAGTGACGATCATAATTCCAATCCAAAGCAATTATCATGGTTTTACCTTGTAATTTTTGACTTTTTTGTGAGTGTATGCATGAGAAGAAAACTGGATCAAGCTCAGAGTCTTGACTCTGGTCAACTTTGTAGATAAACTTGATTTAAAATGCTTCCCTCTTAAGAGTGCCACAGCTGAAAATCCATAAGCCTCTCACCAGTGAGTACTCTCTACTATTAGGTGTTTTAAAGTTTCTGTTTCTAACATCAGGAATTTACTCCCCTTACTCACTGCAAGCTGCTCAAGGCGGCACCTTACTCTTTCCCTGTACTCTAGGGCACCTGGCCCTGGGTCTTGGCACAGCAGGAAATCAATAAATATTAGCTAACAGATATACCTCTCATTCTGATGAGATGAGTTTATATGGCAAACTTACACAAACATCCATTTCTATACATACGTTGTGCTCTTTGTGGGAACACGTAAAAGGTGAGTGTGTCTGGTTTCCCTTAAGCATCTATATCTACAGTGACCTGTACATAGACGCCCATCAAGTGTTTATGGACTCAGTCAGGTTTTGAGTCCTTTAGCTTCTTTCAAATGCAAAATATCCAGATATCCTTAAAAAGTAATTTGTCAACCATAAGGAAAGCTACAAACTAAGAAATCAATGCTTTCAACCAGGAGGGTGGATTACTTAAGCTCAGGAGTTCAAGACCAGCCTGAACAAGAGCGAGACCCCCATTTCTACTAAAAATAGAAAAACTACCCTGGTGTTGTGGTGCACACCTGTAGTCCCAGTTACTTGGGAGGCTGAGGCAGGAGAATTGCCTGAACTCAGGAGTTTGAGGTTGCTGTGAGCTAAGATGCCACAGCACTCTATCCAAGGCGACAGAATGAGACTATCTTAAAAAAAAAAAAAAAAAGTCAGTTCCTTCATCTAAGCTTAAAAATGAAACAGTGAATCTTTTCAAACCATGTGGAAGCATCCAGAATTTTTCTTTGATGACTTAAACTAAGGGGCTGAAAGGACAGACACAGCGCTGTCTGTCTGAATTTGGGAAGGGATAATCTTTCAGCTGTAGTATGTTTTCCATGAGGGACATATTCATGTCTTTAAATGCAATTTGACCTTAACTTGTTTGAATGAATTTTTTTTTTCTGTTTCAACTTCTACATACTAAAAATAGCTTTTGGTTTAGGAATACACACATATCTAAGTTTTAGTGTGCTATCACAGTATTTAATATGGTATTTGTTGTTGACTTTGGAAACAACCTTGACTAAGTTTTATATAAAAAATTTAATAATGTTCATTTAGCTACATTTTTAAGAGAAATTCAGAAAGAAATAACCCTTTATGTTAACATATAATTTAATTGCTACAGAAAATTACTTTATTTTAGTTTTATCAGGATTTTTTTATTAACAGTCCCTGCTGATTGGGTGTGGTGGCTCACTCCTGTAATCCTAGCATTCTGGGAGGCCGAGGGGGTAGGATAGCGAGGGCTAAGAGAACTTGGAGACTAGCAATCAAGAGCAAGAGACACTCTCTACAAAAGAGTAGAAAAATTAGCCAGGCATGGTGGCATACACCTGTTGTCCCAGCTACTCGGGAGGAAGAGGCAGGAGCCAGCTTGATTCCAGGAGCTTGAGGTTGCAGCAAGCTATGATGAAGCCACTGCACTTGGGCCTGCAGCAACAGAATAAGACTCTATCTCCAAAAAACAAAGTAACTGGTGAATTTAAGTAAATGTATTTTGATATCTATTCTAGAAACTTTTTTTTTAAAGTTTTGATTTATAAAATAGACCATTCTGATAAATTTACTAATATTTAGCCATTCTTGAATTCCTGAAAGAACCCAAAGCTCATTATGGTGTATTATATGTTCTTCGGCTAATATATTATACTGCTTTTGATATGCTAATATTTTTCAAGGGCCTTCACATGTATATATTTAAAAGTATTATTGGTTTGTTGTTTTCCATTTTGGTGATATCTTTACTGGGTTTCAGTATAAAGACAGGACAGCAAAGCACAGGGGTTAAGACCCGGGCCACTAGAGCCAGACTGTCTGGTTTAAACACCAGCTAAAGCACAGACTAGTTTTATGACCTTGGACAAATTGCTTGAGATCTCTGTGCTTCACTTTCTTCCTCCATAACAGACTCATGAGATTGTGATGAGGACTGAATTAATATAAAAAACACAATTAAAAGAGTGCCTGGTACAAAGTAAGCACTCTATGATAAAGTAAAAGAAATAAATGCCATCTTTTATAAAATGGATTAAGGGGCCTTCCTTTAAAAAAAAAAAAACCCTTCTGGACTATATTGAACAATTCTAATGGAAGAATTAGAAGGAATCTGGCCTGTCAAACTCTCCCCTTTCCCATGTGTGTCCAGACACGTGCTGCACATACTTAGCTATCTTTTTAATTTACACCATCACACGAGCATTTCCCGTGTCATTAAACATTGTTTGAAAAATAAGTTTTAATGGCTACCATATCGGAAAGCTACAGGATTTTATAATTAGTTCCTCGATGTTACATTTCTAAGACACCCATGTTTTATTAAAAATAACGAGAATGAGAATATCCTTATAAATAATCTGTCTATTTTTATGATTGTTTTCTTTGGATTGTTTTCTACAAATGAAATTGTCGACATACAGGCAGAAATTGTTGACATAAAGGCAAAAATAATTCTAAGACTCTGGATAAATATTCCCATTATTTCTTCCAAATGGTTTCTGCCAGTTCATGCCCCTTCCGTCAGTGCTCTAGAGCGCCTGTTAGTTGATTCCAGCCAACGTGTACGTTCTATCAACAAAACTACTACTACTTAGATAAAAATAGGACTTAAAGATTTTAACACTTGAAAACGTTGATTAGCCCGTAGTATTTCCTCTTTTGTGACTTTTCTGCTATCTACAGAATTTTTGTGTTTTTCTTATCTATTTGTATATGTCATGGATTGAGGATATTTTCCATGCTCTGTCATATTTCAAGCAACTACTTATTGTTTTTTAAAAAAATTGTATTGAAGTGGCTTTATTAATATTGAGAAGTTCTAAATTTTACGTGTGTTAAATATAATATTCCTTCCTTTGTGATCCCATTGTTTAAATTTACAACATTCTTTGCAGATGCATCCACTCAATTTACTTCTAGTTTCCTCTTCTTTGTACATTTAAAGACGCTTCGAGCTCCTGGAATTTACTTTGACTGAGGTGAGAATGAAAATCAATTTTTTTCTTAAAAGCAAACAACTTTTCCCATCCCAACTGACATAGTATCTATAATATTTTATATTCTTACATATATTTGAGTCTGTTTGGGGGTTATTTAACTCTCTTTACCAACTGCTATTCTATTTCTGTGCTAAAACCAAAATGATTAAATTACTGCAGATCTACATTATGTGTAAGCATAAAGGCCACGTGTTTCTGAATTTCTCTTCTTTAAAAATTGTAGCTAGATGAATATTAAAACAATCTTTTTATGTAACATAATCTTTTTATGTAAAAAAATCACAGTAAGAATTTTGATTGGAATTGCATTAAACCTATAAATTCAGGAAGACAACATTTAAAGGTCTTTATAAATGTACACTTGTATTAGTAAATTTTTATAATTCAACTAATTTTCACGTATTTCTTTTAATAAATTATTTCTAGATTTATGCTGTTAACTTCTATAAATGGGATCATTTTTCTGCTACTTGGTAAACTCTGAGTTATAAAAATAAAAAGAGGGTAAATTTACAGGAGCTAACTTTGGACTAAAACTGAAAAACAGTGATACTGTAGTTCTTGAGAGACTCATTATTAATCCACTTATAATCTTGATTTGTCGCAGTTAAGAATGAGGATAGGGTACTTGGCTACGTGGGACATTTAACACACTTGCAACTCTAAATGCAGAATGACACACCATTCTATTCTTAAAACTGATAAGGAAAGAAAGGTTTCTTTGATATTTCAGATCAAATAAAGGAAAGAAAAGACTGAAAGGAAGATGGAGAGACTATTTAAGCTGCAATGTAAGTAGCAGCTAGTGCTTTGGACTGGAGGAGGAGAAAAGAAGAGACAGGGGGAAAGCCACCACGCTTCTCTGTAGACTTGCCAATGCCTTTCCTACTCAGCTTTGTTTCTTTGAATTCCTATGAAAACCTAGCCTTACAGAATGAATCAATCAGGTAGCAACATTAACTTTATTGGTGCAAAACTATATTCAAAAAAGAGTTTCTAGCATGCCCTAGCATCAAACGTATAAGAAGGCCATGTCTGCAAATCCACGTGCCATTCACAAGTCTTGTGTTTCATAAGAACAGTCATTACCGGGCTCATTGCCTGTGGCTCAAGCGGCTAAGGTGCCAGCCACATATACCTAAGGTGGCGGGTTCAAATCCAGCTCGGGCCCGCCAAATAACAATGACGACTGCAACCAAAAAAAATAGCTGGGCATTGTGGCGGACGCCTGTGGTCCCAGCTACTTGGGAGGCGGAGGCAGGAGACTCGCTTGAGCCCAGGAGTTGGAGGTTGCTGTGAGCTGTGATGCTATAGCACTCTACCCAGGGGGACAGCTTGAGGCTCTGTCTCAAAAAAAAAAAAAAAAAAAAAAAAGAACAGTCATTACTTTCTGTCAGCTCATGAAAATCAATCTACCAATAGATACCATGTTTCTTGTTCGGTACAGAGGTCATCTTATCTGAGTCCCATCGTCATTCAGCTTGCATCACTCTAATGGGAGGCCAAGAAGTAGTACTTGGTGTCTTTGTTAAATGAAAGGTGTTGTTTCTGGTCACCCTTAGGTTTCTGAACAAGTTCTCAGGGATGTTCTAGATCCTTCCATGAAAGA